TGTTGATGATAGAAGCACTATGTCATCTGCAAAGTCTAGATCATCTAATTTAGATGGAAATTTCCATCGAATGCCGTTTTCACCTTGGCCAACTGATCTGTTCATTATCCAGTCCATTACAATCAAGAATAGAAAACCTGACATGTTGAATCCCTGCTTAACTCCTGTTTTTGTTCTACACCAACRGCACATTTCTCCTTTATCTTCTGCGGCGCACTCATAATCCTCATAGAATACTCAAACCATTCTAATAATCTTCTCTTGGATACCATATTTCCTCATGATTATCCACATACTTTCCYGATGTATGGAATCAAAAGCCTTTTTCAAAGTCTATGAAATTTAGGTAGTGTTGCTTGCCATTCGTTGACTTGCTCAATAATGTTCCTTAGCATAAAGACTTGTTCTATTGTTCCCCTTCCTTTACAATAACCCACCTGCTCTTTCTGCAATCCATCTCTTATGGCTATCAATTATTATCTTGCCAAGTATCTTTCCTACAACGGATAATAATGTTATGCCTCTTCAGTTCTAACATTCATTCAGGTTTCCTTTCTTTGGTAATTTAATAATATGTCCTTSGTTCCAGTCTTTAGGAATCTGTTCACGTCTCCACACTTTACACATTAATTGATGTATTCTCTCTGTTGCAAAATCAACATCTGCTTTCAATAACTCAGCTGTTATAGAGTCAACTCCTGGAGATTTCTTATTTTGTAGTCTTTTTATTGTAGTAGGTTCATTGGTTTTTATTTCTTCTAATGTTCCGTCTGTTATCGGGTTTRGTGGTTCATCTCTATTTAGTATTTCTTTGAAATGTTCTGTCCATCTTGTCTGAACTTCATCTTTKCCATTAASAAGGTCTCCATTCTTATTCAATRCTGCTGCAATCCATCTAGGTCTTTCCTTAATAGATTACTTGTTAAAAATTATTAAGCTAAAGATGCGTTTTGGGCTTTGAGAAGCTATTTTGCAAAAAGTTTACATTAAAACCTCGCTTTTTTCAATGGATATCATTTGGACTATAGTAAGGTAAAAAACAATGTGAGCATTTTTGGATTTAGATTTTTGTTTTGAAGTTATGGCGTCAAATATCAAATTTCCACATCAAGAATTCGTAATTTTAAATTCAAATGGCAATAACTCTGCAAATAAAAAAATATCAAAAAATGTTTATACGGTTTTTAAGTTTAATAYATATTGACCAATATACCGTATAAACTTTGTTGAAAAAATAAATACTTTTTTTAACTTTTTAAAAATTTTGACTAGATTTTTGATTATTAATTTGTAATAAATTACTTATTAAATATTATTACAAACCAATGACATGTCAATGTCATTATTGTGTTAGCTTTAAAACGATGTATAATATGTTTAGGTATTATTTAATGAAGCCAAGATTTGATTTTTTTTACAGAGGCAAACTGCAAAGGGGAGCAGTAACATTAACTGTAAAATTTATCTAGAAAGAAATTGATCCATTCCTTAATAAGTGTTAAAGTTTTATTATTTACTCAACACAGCTACTGGGATACTATCTCTGCACCAATCCATCAATCAACAAAGCAATATTCATGTAAGCTAGTATTCTAAATGACTAATTTACTTTTAAATATTTAATCGTCAAAATTGTGAAGCTAAATTAATACTTAATGAATTTTTTTGCAAGTTTATTGATGAGTGTCATATAGTACTATCTATATATCAGTGTTTGTATTCTATTGCTTGACAGGTACACCCTGTGTTTCATATTACTCCAAGGTGAAATGATATCTGAAAAGCTTTTTCAGTTTCTAAATACATTTTAATACATGCAGTATGAATTAAAAACAGCATACAAGGGAATTATGGAACTAATATTAATATTAAGAATAATAATAAGAATAAACCTTGTTAATAGAATGTCATATAAATGAATGCTTATAGATGAATTCATCGAACCTATATTATATAGCTATACTATACACAATTATGCGTGAAGACGGTGGTATCGGTCTGTTTCTATCTTACAAGTACATCATGACCGTGTATTCCTTCAGCAATTATAAGGCAACAATGTCTTGCAAACAAAACACTTGGTTATTAGTTGGAATGTATATGAAACAACTGCAAACTGTCTCAATTATTGATAATGTTGTATTGTATTTTTGTTKTAATGAGATCGTTTGTCTGATCAAACGTATCACTCCAAAGAATTACTTTGATCCAAGTGGTCTTTGATTATGATCTCTTATAAGAATATCATGCATATAAATAGTCGATCTTTTGATCCTTTWACAAACGTTATTACCTGACTGATAAGACATAGTCTCCTGGTATCGTAGAACTTTCACGGACGAGAAATGTTCCCGGTGTCTTTCCACTCAAAATGCTTTCAGTCTTGGGTCTCGATAGATATCCATGAAACCAACTATTCACAACAAAACACACAAATCATTGAAATAATCTAGTCATTACGCACAAAAAATGACTTACATTTGATTATTCATATTGAAGAGTGACTATGTATTGCGCCAAGTTGAAGCCCAAAGGAACCTTGCTTATCGACAGAGTTGAAGAACGAAGATCACTTATTCACTCATTAAAACTTCCATTATTCTGATATCATTGAATAGCAATGCTTGTAAAATTAGCTTTTGCTATCTTTACGACTAAATGTAGAAGTTGTAGATAGGAAATTCCGATAGATCTCCACAAAACTYGTTCAAAATGGTGGATAATCTACTTCGCAAAATCCGGAAATTGACACTGGAGGGGCTGGGGCGAGAAGGTTCATCATGTCGCACAGAAACCCCAACCACAAAATGTTATGTTGATATAGGCAGCCCAGCGGCTAGCCAATAAATTTATTCATTCATAATAAATTTTATTCATTCATAATAAATGTTGAAATGTAGTCTCCTTTGCAGATTTAATTAATATCGTTTATAGACTCCCTCTCCATAAGTTAGTGGAGGAGGCTACAGTCAATAACATGTTAAAAATAGCTTAGCAATGTGGAGGCACGTCCGAAAAATCAATACTTACAGTAGTAGTAGCAACTTYATTTAGAGAGGGTAGCACTAAATAGTGGAAACCACTAATAAACTTGTGTCCCTCAATTCTATACAATATACACCTAATTACGAAAACRTTGTCCTGAGAAGCATAGGAAATTAGGAATACATTAAAAGACAAAACATGACCACTGAAGCCGAACACCTTCTTTTGTTTTTTAATTAATTCCTAAATAGTAAAATTTCTTTTTTCTTGGACAACGTTTGTGTATTAGGTGTAAAAACTATGTAACAAAGACCTTTCAATCAAATTTTCTGTGATACACAGGGTTAGATTTTTCACAATCCTGTGTACTCATGAGCGTACTACATGAGGGTAACTGGACGAGGTCGGGGGTTTCAATGAATTGACTAGTGCATTAAAGAATTGAATAGACTAGTGCACTAAAGCTTAAAACACATTTATATATCATAACAAAAAATTGTAGTAAAATATTAAAAAATGTAAACCACTGAACACATTGCAAATTCAAGAGAATATTCATTTTATCACAACACGTACAAAGCTCTATGTTCGCTTCACTTAAATCTGTAGATTTTCGTAAATTTCTAAGGGTGGGAATTTCAAGTTTCGATAAGTGGAGCATTTTAATACTTGTTCCCAGCCCCCTTTTTAACTCGAAGATTGCGAAGCAATCGAAGAGTTATTGGAGGGSGACGAGTCTGTCACTCACTCAATCACTCACTCACTCACTCAGTCACTCACTTTCCTCAGTAAACTTGAGCCTGCGTTACTTCAGGACTATTCAGAACTATTAATTTATTCTCATTGTTTTCTAGTAATTTATTCATTAATTTGCCGTTACCGGTTTYCCTGTTCTACATTTGATTATTTATTCATTTATTTTTTGGCAAAGAAAGAAATCTAAAGAAATGTCATCTCCTCTGAGTCTCSAATCTCAGACCTTTGATTTAGAAATCGAAACAATTGTCGAAAGCACTTCCATTCGGCCACGCATACCAATGTTACATAATTGCGGTTAGACTTGTCTTTTAACTGCAGGTGCTCGCTCCTGGTTGTCAAAAATCAAAGTTAAAAATAATTAGATTGTAACTAAAAAGAAAACTGTATTCATAAAATAATGTAAAATTTTATTTGAAAAGTAATTATAATTTGATTCGACATACCGTTAAGTCGCAAAGTTCTAAGCAAGCAAAGAATACTGGACGATTCTCCAATTCGTTTCGAAAATGATTGTACGAAGGTGCTGGCCTGTGCTTATCGAGAACCCAAGTTAATATTAAAATGAAACAATGAAGACTCTGTCGTAGAATTTTCCAGCTCTACGCAGCTCGCAATCAAAGAGACTGTAGTCTTCCTTGTACTCCTTTATACATCGACGTCCAAACACTTCTGAATTAAATTTAAAACATGTGCTTAAAGAATATGAATACACATCTGCAGCACATCTGTTGTCTATAGATAATTATGCAAAATTTCTTTGCGTACTTACTTTGACAGTTTCTTTGTTATCTAGGTTGATTACTAAAATGACCACACTTATGATTTAACAAAAATGTACCAAAAACACAAATTTCTCTCTCCTCCGACAGACTCAGATATTTTAAGAAAATGCCCCTTTTGCCTTGTTAAACCGGATACTATTTGACTGTTTCATGGTACATGTGAACTTGTTTTTTTWAACAAAATTCTTGTTTGACACACTAAAAYCAAGACTTTCAATGAAACWTATTTCRTCTATTGACCTTTTCAATCATTGATACGTTTAATTACAAACTCTTTGATGATCAAATTCTTAAGAAAATTTCTATTTGGCTGTTTGTTGAAGTTTCTATTGTTTGCTTTAATGAACTCCCGAGATATCGATCGTTGCGGTTGAGGCGAAGTTGTGTTTACTTGGGGATCGTTATTTTATTGCGTTTTGACACTTGCGGTGATTTTACATAGTTTAATCTGGCTAGACTGGGATCCAGAACCGAAGTTAAATACGAAAAAACAAACTATATTCATAAATCAGATACTCAAAATTAAGTAATTATAATTCGATTCATTGTATCGTTCTTTATTCGTCTACACAATCAATCTTCGAGTTGTGTTGCCATTGGCGGCTTGATTAATYAATGTGCTGCGATTGTGACAATGCAGCTTGTCAAAATCAAGGCAAACACTATACAAACATTAATTAACTAACTTTTATTGGATTTATACTATAATTATTATCCACGAGTTCATGGAATTTGATCAAACATTTACATTCACGTTTGTATCACAGTTGATACACCGATTAGACTCTTGATACARCCTTTTGCACAAATTATGAGACATTTTTATATATATAAATATACCTAACCAAATATCAAAAACACCCAAGAAATTATGGGATACCGTCGCTGATATTTTGTCTGTAACAACCTGATGCTAGGCAATCATGACAAAATATAATAGAGATATACCATAATTTCTGGGGTGTTTTTGATATTTGGTTAGGTATATTTATATATATAAAAATGTCTCATAATTTGTGCAAAAGGCTGTATACATCAAAATATCTAAAAAGAATTGTCTACAACTCGTTTTTCAGTATTACAATACGCCCCGCTGTACTCATGGCTGGTGTACTGAGAGCGCTTACAATAAACAAGTGATAGTTTTAGTAAAGCAGGGACTTTGCACAGTCAAATAACTTTATACTACCTTTCTATGTGTGCCCTTGCACCCCTGTTATTWTTTTTTACACATCTGTTTTGCAATACAACTACTTCTAAAAATGAAATGTCAACATTTCAGTTGGCCGATAAGACCGATAACAAAACGAGCAGGGACCTGGGACTGTAAATAAAGTGATACAATCTTACATGCAGAAATCTGTTGTCGATAGACAAAGCACTTAAAAATTAGCTAAAGTTTAAAGTTTGAGCAAGTTTAAGTCATTAGAATTGGGAATAGAATTTTTCAAAAATTTCGAAAATTACAAAGAATGTATGTTTGGCTGGACACCATAYATTTCTTTGTAATTTTGGCATGGTTTGAATGTCCGTAACTTTATTGCTATAAGTTCAAACATCATGAAACTCAGTCAGTAAGCCTTTTGTATGGTGCTCTCTCACRTGATGGGGTCATTCTTTCTGGAACCATTATTTAATTAGATTTTGAAGTTCGGACCCAGTCCCTTTTTCGTTTTGTTATCGGCCATAATAATAATTGAGAGCTAGTTCAACGAAAAACTGCAAGATTACACTCGGAATGGTCTAATTAGATAGCAGTATTAAACCTGATGTTATCATAATTATTCTAAAAGTACTTTAAGTTATCTCCCAGGAGCTGTTGCAAGAAATTGTTTTTAGACAGTCATAAGTTTTGCACCAGTTTTTGGGTTTTGAAGTGTTGGGTTGGTGGTGATATTTATGTTTACATTCAATGGAAACCGATAAACAAAGCATGCAATTCATCAATTTTTCAAATCAGGGTTTCTACTCAGTGAAATGCGAATATATAATAAATATTAATATTCYGTGATAATAGCATTGTGGACAAGTTTTGTGCAAATGTCTGACTTTGAATAAAATCGCGAAGACGTTTTAGGAAATAAATCGAAACATTGGACAGATACGTATCCTTTAGGATTTAAACATTGGTAAAATGAGATGAACTAGTCCTTTTTGCTTGTWACTTGCAGGATACTTTAGTATGTTACTCTGGAATATCAAAGATTGCAACGTTGTTTAAACAAAATCAGAAGAATGCCCTTCGATGTCGGTTTCCAAAACACTCGCTCAAAATTCTTTGCCAAAGTGTTCTTTCATTATCATTCCAACTTTCATGACATTTCTGATATTTTAGTCATTTTAAAACATTGAACGTTATCAAATCAGACTTTCAGCGCACAAAACGGGTGTCAAAACCTGTCGATCACAGAATTAGAAATTTTGGTGTAATTCTTTTTGCATGCTACTGTAGTTTATGGTTGCAATGGATTCTCTGTTAATAAAAAAAACCTAATCAAAACTATTATTCAAGCCCAAAAAGTGATGCAAAAAAAAATAATAATAATAAAATAAGTCTAAGGTAAATGTCTAAAAATCAACTTCTTTGACAGGTCTCAATCCATCCTTTGGCCTTAGACTCCATTTTGGTCATTCTTTGGCATTAGCTGGACATAAGTAAAAGAGAATTTTCCAGTTTTGTTTTTAGCTTCACCAAACCAGGAGCCATCTTCATGTTTCTTGATTATTTTGATCACATCTCCTTTCTGTGAATTAAAATAAAACTATGGCTCATTAAAGGAATRCAAAAACGGTACAACAATGATATGGAAAACATTGTAAACTACGTTTCTCAGTACACTGCATGATTTGAATGAATTTTTGTCGAAAATCGATATGCTTTGTTACCAAATTGCATTAATAATKCCATACTCGTCCATAGTTTTCTCTGGAATGATGGCATAATTTCGCACATTCCCTGTGTATTCTGCTTTTCTGCGTTTCACGTAATGAAATTGTTAGCGAGGACACACGTTTTATACTCAAAGTCAATAACTTCAACCAATTGTTCACAGAACTCCCAAAATGAATTGAAGATTTTGAGGAGGTGCTGAGGGTTTGTCTTTCATTGGCCAATAGTGGAGTGGGGAGGGTGTTGTTACTTGAGGTTGGTGTGATGGACATAAGAGTTGTTGGAACATATTGTGGATTCAAGTTGGGGTAGAGGTTGCAGGGTGGTTGATGTTAGTGATTGTAAACATGGGGTTATTGTTGGTAAGAATGAGCGTAGAATAGTTAATAGAATAGAAAAGATAATTACATGAAAAAGAATAGTTTCTCCTCCACCAGCATAAGAGTGCCTATTGATACAATGTCGTTAGGGTATGAAAGGTGCTGGGTTGGTRGCGAAAGGGGTGATGGGGGTATTATCGTCGTGTACCGTGTAACCAAGTATGTCATAGTTTTCCGAACACACGAGTGGGAAATATTTTGGGGATTTGGGTTCTCCTCCAAAAMATTGATCCAGAAGATAAGCTTCGAACCTGCGAACCCTAAATAAGACCTATCCGATCGTTAGCCCTAAACCCGGTTACGCCACGAGTGCATTCKCTTGGTTGCACCCCTTTTTTCTAGTATTTAAAGAATTTCTCATTAACATTTCACTAAAATAATCATAAGTAATAGCATGGCTCTGAGGGAGATCAGGGATTAAATGTCCCCGAAGCCGAGGGCAGATAAGTTGAAGTCAACGACGGGCGCAGGCCGGAGGGACTTTTACTTATCTGCCCGAGGCTGAGGGACATTTAATCCCTAATCTCCCGAGGAAGCCATGCTATTACTTTGTAATACATGATTTCCGAGGAAAAAATTGAAGTTGAACTTGAGCGAATTTGAATTCTTTTTTTTTTTGCATGCTCCAATGTTTTCACTCAGAAGTTATATAAACATTGCAACAAACAATTCATGCATGAATTGGAATGTGACATGAAAAAAAATGGATACGCAATGTTCTAAGAGTATCAAGTACTTTATGTAATGTGTAAAAACGCCTCGGACTGGAACTAATTGCGCGGACTTGAAATCCCGTCCAGTCCGAATTGGAGGACTTTGAACTACTTCTCATACTCATTAATTATTCGGGAGGGGAAAAAAGCGAAGGAAATACATACAACAGAAATATATTGATTTATTGCATCTCCACTAAGGTTTTCAGTTTTCATAATTTTGAATRCATGAAGCACCGTTTGTTGTTCTTCAATTCCCGGACGGCTTTCTGAAACAAAAGCTATTCAAATTGTCTTTGTCTGATATTCATGGCATTCCTAATGAGCCTAATCCATAACATTTATAAGTATGTTATCTTCCGAGAAATCGCATCAGAAACTCGGTGGTGTAATGGTRTAAGACGGCGTATATAGACTGGACGGTAGGGGATTGAGTCGTGAGGAAGTCATGTATCAAAGACCTTTTTTCACTAAATTAATGTTAAACTGATTATTTCTAATAATTTGATTATCATTAGCTAGTAGTAGTTGGAAACATGGTTGAAGTAACTGGAAATAAGGTAGAAATAGCTGGAAATAATGTAGAAGTAACTTGAAAAAGGTAGAAGTAACTGGAATAAGGTAGAATACAAGGTACGAGTACTTCCTTTGGTTTCAAGTTACTTCAYGTGGTACAAATTACAATCAGGGATTGGGTGGATACCTCATGAATAATTAATGAGTGTGAGAAACACCTTTACCATAATGGCTGCAATTGTGTTTTTCCAAAATAAAATAGATATGAATATTTTGTCACTGTAATATCAAAGAACTATCAGAAATAAACGTTTTTAGAACGTTTCAGAACTCTGGACAAAATAGGAAAAAAGTTATGGTGAAATGAAAATACAAAGAAATGTATGTAATTTTCCACCAATGGCTGTCTGTCTATTTGTTTCTGTTAATATGAAATATGTGAAAACTTTGTCACTGTCATGTGAATGAACTACCAGAAATAAACATACCRTATTTACTCGAATAGACGCCTCCCCCGAATAGACGCCGCCCTCAAATAGACGCCGCACTTAAAGCTCAAAATATTAATACACGCCGCCCCCGAATAGTCAATTTGAGGAAATAATGATGCCAGCAATGGGAATTTATTTTCGTTTAGAACATCTTTTATTTCGAAGTGATTGTACTTTTTTGCTCTCAGCAGCTGATCGATTCCGACCACGAGGAGGACATTGATRTTGAAATAGAAGTTTAACTCTGGTTAAAATCATAAATTGAATAGACAAAATGAACACSACATTTATATATTGAGATTCGTTACTGTTTGTTAGYAAAAAGATAMAATAWAAAGTACGGTATGTAGTACCGAATAAAATCTTTTTTAATAAACGCCGCCCCCGAATAGACGCCRCCCTCGAATAAACGCCGCACCTGGATCGTGAAAAATGAAATAAACGCCGCGGCGTCTATTCGAGTAAATACGGTATTTGGAAAGTTTTACAGCCCTGGTTAAAATRCGAACAAAGTTATGGCCGATTGAAAATACAAGAAATGTATGTAATTTTCAGACAAGGCCTTTATAGCCTCGTTCTGGTGTTATGATATATTTTAAATCCTTATAACTTCGTCAGAATTCAATATTTTCATTTCAAACTTTTATATGTTGTTTTTAGCACAGGTTCCTATCAGCTGTTAGTTTATTTTGACTAAAATTATAAWTTTTAAAAATTTATGTTAATTAGATGGCGGCCGTTATGGTAAAGGTGTATTGTGTCATTGAAAAGGTTTTCGCCAAACAACAGTACAAAATGATATTGGTAATCCGACTATCACTATTGTCACTAATTTCACACAACGAACTTTTAAACAATTGCTTTGCAGTTCTATTCAATGCTGAAGTTAACGAATCTTAACTTCAACCCCGAAAAGTTGTTTTTATATTTGCAAGTATAATGCCAAGAAGCTTATCAACTATAGACCCCTTGCATGTGACGTCAAAGCAGCTTCATCTGGAGGASAAAACAAAAGATTTTTATCCTCTTGGGAACTAGAATCCATTGTTTTGTCCTCCAGYTGGAGCTGCATTCCCATGAACTGCAAGGGGTCTATTATCAAACATTGAAATTCGTCAAGTGCACATGCTCAGCGGTACGAAGTAGTGACTCGGAACCAGAGCTCGGTCAATTTGGTCCAAAAATCATCCCACATTTCAGTGTGACTGTGACAATAACGAGACCGTTCATTGCAGAGGTAAAAAGAAGACAGCTGTAGGGACATTCAGTTGTCCCTACTAGGAACCAAAGGTTTCCTTTGCCTTCCGTTCCTCATGAATAACATGAGGGACGATTAGTCTAATCTTCCCTCATGTTATTATATATGAAGGACGATTACTAGTAATCGTCCCTCATGCATAATAACATTCTATTCATGAGGGAGGGATGTTCGCTTGTAAAAATCCCTCGGAAGACAAAAGAATCCGAGGTGATCATGGTATTATTAATATATAAGAACGAAGTATATACGAATAATCGTCGCAATTCATTTGCATACGGCAAATTTCCCGTACACCACGATACTACCGTGCTGGGGKTTAAGCTGGTGGAAGAGATTTGTTGCCCAAAAATGTAAAATACAAATTTGCTAACTTTTCAGTGGTAGTTGTAAAAGATTGATTTCGAATTTCCTGCAAAGTSGACTATTTCTTCAAATACAATCATGACATGCAGCCGTCAACATGTCTTTCAGTAACCGATACATTTTAGAAGTATGAATTCCTTATATTGATTGACACAAAGCCAAACGCAAGCATAACATTTCACAGTTTTCATTATATTCCAATAAACAGATGGAATTAGAAATTCGAAACAAGCAATTATTGGAACCCCGAATTTCATGGAAAACTTTCCTTAACAGTCTTTTATTCGAACTTTGGATGTTACTAGACCTTACTATTGCTCTTAACCGAAACATGCCACCCGATCAGGCGGAATGACTGATTATGGTTCCAATTTGTTTCAGTGCAGTTTGTGACAATACAACTCTTACATTAAAGGAAAGGAGGTCATCATCATAAACCTTGATGTGGTCCATAATAGCCATGGCGTACTCAAAGCCGTCATTCTAAAAACAAAGGAAATTTAACACTACATTGAGACATAGTTATAGTAGAGGGGACTATGACTATGACCGAGGTAAAATACCTTGTTTTTTCTATACTCTGATAAAAACATCATTCTATGACGTTGGGAAAACACGAGAAAAGTGAAGGAGATCACAGAAAGACTGCTATAYTCCATCAGCATTACAGGGAAACTCATTACATCACAAATGGAATCCCACATACAATATCAAACAAATCATGAATTTATGCATCACATTTTCTTGAGATTTCCAAAAAAAATGAATTAATAAACCAGTGAGTGTACTATATAGGAATACTGACGAGTATGTTAAGGAGCCATAATATGAGAATCATCACACTATGATTTATTTTCTATTAAGATCTTTTCTATTCAAATTAAAGTACTTTCTAAATGACAAAAATATCAATGTCTCCTTGAAATATCAATTTCATTTCACATTTCCTTGTTTGCCCCACGCAATACTAAAATAGATSACAGCGAAAATCACTTCTATTTCTGAACTTATCTACCGACTAACTAGCCTGAGTATCAGGCTCTCTCGAAGGGGTTTGGGGCGAGAGAGCCTGATACTCAGGCTACCGACTAACGTAAGAAATCGCGGAGAGAAATCTATCCAAGTATTGATAGACTCAGAAGAGTTGGAGATCGAAACGAAGACGTCCTACTCTTTCAGGACGACCTGATTTTATTAAGAATGAATGACAYTCCTTACAGCCTGCCAAAYTGTAATATMAGTGTTGCGCTCTTCCTGTAATTCAATGWTTTTCTCCCTTTAAACTGCGATAGGAATGAAATAAACATATTATYGTATCATTATAGCAATGTTAGAATAAKGTGCCGCAAACAATCGCACACCGGTTAAAATKGAAAGCCGAAAACTACGCGCGAGCAGTCGAACCCCTCAACAAAAGAACGACTTGGTAATATACAAAACTTTAATCAATACCCGTATGTAAGACCAACAAGTATAGACACCATACAACAACAACATACAAGGACTACAGTTTTAAAGAATATMCCTAGACACTTTCGAGGGCTTACCTATTCCAATTTTGCTAGAAACAGAGAAAAACACAGCAGAGTTGTGTTGCTTGCTCTTTCGCACAAACCCAAAAGAAGTCAGAAACCTCACAAGATCAGCTCTACAAGAGGAAACCCGAGAAAAYTCACCTTTCAAGAGCAATGGATAGAAAYCCTATGAACCWATCTATGGATACATTCTTTACCATGCGTTGCCATCAAAATCCCAAACACGTGAGGCAGAAAAACTTCGATAAGCTCAAAACGTTGGAAAGGAGTTTCTACGACGCCAAAATAGATAATTTGACTGCTTACGTACTCAGCACACAAAAATCCAAATGTTTTTTTCAACMAAACTGACTAAAGCAAGTCTATTATTCGACACAGGATCACACTTGACCAAGCACGAAAACACGACGCTATAATGTTTAACCTGACAAGGATCGAAACAACCTAACATAAACAAGCATGATTACTAGCTGCAATCCATCATTGACACCACAGCTTCCAATTAACTGGAAATTTCAAAAAATGTAAGCTTTAATGCTAATAAAAGCAGGTTTGGACGGCTACTATCGGGCACCTTTTACACGGGCGAACCCCGAGCAACAATCAGTACCATCAGCCATTCAGAGTCACACAACTGTGGCACTATGAGAAACATTAAATGGAAATAACAGAAAGTTATATTGCTTAGAATAGGTTATTCCGGACCCTTGGAAACAAATTCGAAAAAATTAATTTCCGAGCCCGCTGAGATTCCAACCCACGACCCTCGGATTTGTACTACCGATGCTCTACCAGCTGAGCTACAAGGCCAGACTGGGAGCAGGTCGGGGTGATGTAATTGAAATGTACAGATATGTGGACCGCATGGCACTATGTACAGATATGTGGACCGCATGGCACTATGCTTAAAATACAATCCTGTCACTTCAACTACATTGCTTGTCTTCAGTATCCCTTCGATTGATTTGCATAATGATAAATGTCACTGAAATGATACATGATATTATAATAACTGCGAATTTTAATAACAATAGATTAAAACCAATACAATGACAATGCTATGCATAAATTTTAGCATTGGACATGGTTACTTCATTACCTTAGGCTTATCACGCGACACACCAGGGCTGGAATGTCTACCTGAATTTTGAAGCTGTGAAAATAAATTAGAAAATAAAGTTTTTATATGACTACTTCAAACAAATTGTCGAAGACAACAGAAATTTTTGATCGTTGACAACTCCATTTGCTGTTCTTTTCAAAACTCTTTTTTTTTTCTTGCACAAACTGAGTAGAACAGTAGTTGAAAATGCACCCGTTTGATAGGGTGAAAATGAAAAACACAACAACAAAAACAATACCAGTGCTTCAGCACACAAAAGAACTGCAGCTATAATSATGTTAAGCGGCGTTTACACGAGCAATTTTTCCTTGACAAGTTTCTTGACAAGAAAAAATTGCCCGTGTAAACAGTCAACAAGTTTCCTCGACAATACTTCCTTGACAATGTTTCTTTGCTTACTAGTGTAAACGAACGACAAGTTTTCCTTGACAAGGAAAAATTACCAGTTTGAATGGTCAACAAGTTTTCACTGACAATTCTTCGTTGCCACATTTTCCTTGTTGTCCATTTACACGAKCAAATTTCGTCCTTGGCAATTTTTCCTTGTTGAACATGTTGGCTTTTCCTATTGTCCATTTTACCCCATTTACACGAGCAATTTTTCCTAGTCAAGGAAAACTTGTCAAGGAAAAATTGCTCGTGTAAACGCCGCTTTATAAGAAATACAAAACTAATTTCCACTTTGCTTTTACTTGAATTTGTTCTCGTGGTTTCTTGAAGCAAACATGAACAAAATTRCTCAATCAGTATATCATGGTGCTGATAAATTCCCAACAGTGCGTGTTTGACTATCTAGTTTACATAGAATTATATCAATAAAACAGAGATAAGCAACTAATATCAACACAAATAATACTTATATACGTACTGGTAGGCTACCAAACTGTGTATTATCTTCTGGGTTTGAGTTCCGGCTTCCTTGTCTCGTTAAACCCTAAATACCAAATGAAACCAAATAGATTGTTTTCAACCATAGCCAGCCACAGTGGAGGAAGAAACAATGGTTACTGTGGTGATGTGTAGTGAAAACAAAGAATACTTGTCCAGTTATTTGCCCTCTTAACAAGGGAATGTTAACAAGCTAATCACATGGATGTTAGAAAAACGTCCAAATTTCATCGCAACACATCACAGCTGCAGTAACAACATGGCTATTGCATGTACTGTAGTTTTTGAACAATCACACCAAAGTTTCAATGACCAGACTACCCTCACGACTTATTATTAAAGATTATTATTATGAGGCTGTGATAGTCATAAATTAATACAATTTGTGTGTCAATAGACCTCTGCAGCTTTTACGTTATGTATCGTATACGCAATGCATTGTAGGATATGTTTGGGACAGAACATGGCGGATTCCTTTTGTTTTCTCTTGAAATTGATCAATTAAAAATGCATTTAAAAACAAGTAGTGACGTAAAAGTTCAGAAGTCTATTGCTTTAGCAAAATTTCAAAGTATCCCTCAGCCATTGCATTAAACTGAGACAGAGATGATGGTTGCTAATACCAGCAAATAATTGTCTTGCTATGATACTAGCAATGGCCTGGCTACTTTTCAAGATGGCATTACTCGAATCACATTTTGACTTACACTTGTTGTTGAAGGCAAAGTTTGTGATGAAGTATTTCCTTGGGAAATCTGCAAGAAGTTAGCATAATGTCTTATGAATTCTCTACGTGTAATCATCCTTTGAAATAATTATAATGTGAAGGCCATAACATCAACATACCAATTGAACATAGTTTCTAGGTATCATTCCCTCTCTGCCACTTTTAYTTCTTGCTTTCCACCAGTTTTCTTCAACTTTTTTCACTAAAGTTAATGTATCTCCTTTTTTAAAAGGTAAATCTTCTTTATCCTAAAATTAATTAATGATGCTCATAAAATGATCTGAAGAAAGCTTTTTCTATGACCTACAAATAATGTTTTCACTTTTAATTAGTCTTTAAAAACGCATTTTTTTTGCTGCATAAAAATTCAAACTCGTCTAATTCACAAAACCCCCTCATAAATTCTTTTAAACTCGGGGAAACAAGTAAATACAACTTGAAATTTACAAATCAATCTACTTCAGTTTAAAAAAATTCTCAATCAAAAGCCATTATCAAAGCCAGTATCCAATTGAGTCGCCTTAACTTCTTCTAGATCTTCAGAGAAAAGTGATGTTTTTAAGAGTATCATGACCCATTTTGGAAACCACATGCATTTTTCATTTTTCAAGTTTTTTCTCTGTTATGATACTGGACTGACATGGTTTTTATAGCTTATTTAACGACATACTGAACCCAATCAGAATGGAGTCATTTTGTTTTGTACATTAAATTATATGTAGGTCTGTACAGATTCTCATATAAAGATTACKGACATTCCCATAATGTCTTTGATAATTCTAAAATTTCCCATTTCCCAAATAGAAGCTCTCTGAGCAACCCCCCTTCCCCCAGCCCCCTGCAACCCCCTCAAAAAGTGGAGAGAAARGGGAAAGCACTACCTACCTCACTGTCAAAGTTAAACATTGCATGTAGCTGTTCTGGTTTTGCAACCTAGCAATTGCAAAGAATTGTTAATATATCAAAGGTACATGTTAATATGCAACAATTTTAAAATCACTTTTCCAACTTTTACCACAATGCAATTTGGAGGTTTGTTGGTGACAAAGTACAACAAAATCATGGCTACAAAAAAAAAAACGATTACATACTGCATGACAAATGTTTTCAGATAATGAGTTATGTTATTTGCCTTTGAGAACAGATCATTGTATATCTTTGACACTTAGTTTTAATTTGAAGATCTTTAAGTTCAATATTAATCATCAACTGTATGGAGCACAACTTGGTCTATTAATACTTTACTTACYGGTTCTTTGAGTGTTGTTTTATCCAGAAGGTGTTTTTTGTAAAAGTCAATTATTTCAGGTAATGTTTGAAAAGTCTGGTCTCCTATCTGATAATAGGTCCCTTTATGGTTGATGATGTAATGGCTCACTTTACCACCCTCACTAAGAACATATTAATGTATAGATTAATATTTCATAAATGGGCAGTYCCACATGAGAGATGAAAAAAYATGATTTTTAAATMTTAGCAAACTCAATAGTTTTTTTCTCAAATATTACTCTATGATGTTCAGAGTTTATAATTTCAATACCATTTTCCAGACAGGTGATCTGGGGAGTCCAGTAAGACCAAGAGAACATATGAGAAATTGTTGTTTCAATTTGGTCTCAATTAGAGCAAATTGAAATTTGCCAAATAATATACGGTTATGAAACCTAAAGTTTCAAGCTTTATTTAAGAACAATAAACACATGTTGATCTTTCAAAATGCACACTTAGGGAAAACTTCTAAACAATAATTATTATTATTATAATTATTATTGCTAATTATTAGCAATTATTTTGGATGGATAGATATTCCATTGCAGACGTTACACAGCCACATTGCAAAAACACTCATTTTTTTTGTATTTTAATCCAACCAGAAATCATCTTATGTTGGTATCATTGATCCTCTTTTAAAAAGATATGGGTAACAGATAGGTGGGTAACAGATAGGTGGGTAACAGATAGGTGGGTAACAGATAGGTGGGTAACAGATAGGTGACAAGGAATTGGATGCAGCTCTTTAATAAGTCGACTGCTGAAATTATGTTACAGACGTTAAAAATTTTGTGTTACAGACATTACACATCTTGCATTCCAGACGTTACAAAATCATAGAAAGAGAAAAATACACGGTGAGTCACAAAGCATGTGTTTTTATGAGATAGCATTGATCAAACTGTTTTACTGACACAGGAATCCCAATCATGAAAAATAAAATTACAAATTACAATCAAATTGGCTTTATAAGTATACAAAATTGGCTAACAAGAAGAACATTGGAAAAGGAACTGCATTTCTACATGTATTGTTCATATAAGTTTTTATTCATT